TTTCCATCAGTGAACGCAGAATCATCAAACAGATAACAGTCGTTCTGTTGTCGTGTGGCAAAATATTACATTTATTTAATTGTCATACGAAGTCAAAATCAAGAAAAAGAACAAAAGCAGGTAAGTGATTGTTAGCAACGTACAAGACCATGAGTGATAAGTAGAACAAGTAATGACTGATAAACAAACGGTCATGACCTGTTGGCTTTAAATGAACGAATTCTAAAATATATGTGTTCTCAAGGTCCATAAAGCTGCGTGAAAGTTTAGAAAATTCCCGTCTAATGCGCAGGAGTTAAACGCAGCAAGCATTGAGGATTTATATCGACATCTCTAGAAATATCATGTCATTACGAGCAAAGTTAGTAGTTTGAACGTTAACTTTGGAGATTTATCGCAACATACCTTCTGAGCCATCTGAGGTGACTCAAGGATGTTCTGCAGGGAACATAACGGGGATCCGTTTGAAGTAAATTCCGCTCCCAGTTTTATGTTATCAGGCGTCATATAGCGCCTCATCTTGGTCACTGAAGAAGGCAATGTTCGGTGGAATGGAGTAACAAAGCCAGGTAGGCTATCAGACAAGGCAGGCTGTGAGTTTTCATCAAACTTATTAGTAGAGAGATCAGACAGACGATCGGGTCGTGAAGCCGGAGGACAAGTTAGAGGAAAGGACGGAAGCTGGTCAACTAAAAGGAGCGATGAATCTACAATAAGGCGGCTTACAGCGCGTGCACTCCGGTGAACTGAGGGAGGCGGGGAAGGAAAGCAAAGTATCGAAAGATGATAACGAGACCGAGTTTCCCTCGATAAGCGGTTTTACCATTTGCACAACATCCACGTGAAGCGATGGTGGCAGTTTAAATGCGGCATCCATAAAAACTTTTGGGTTTACGCGTAACCCCACTGTAAGAATAAGAAGCATCGTCTAAAGGCTGTTTTAATGATATGCAGAGGCTTACGCAGCATACGGCAAAATCCGACATTTCAGAGAGGTCTGGCTGCAGTCCAATGAGTTCAACAAAGTTTGCAGTGAAAAAATCTGAAAATGAGTGTATTTAAAATGCTTTACCATTAAGTCGGTCGATTACAGACTCAGCGTTGTTTTCAAATGTTCCTTTGGGTCTTCGTTCAAACCTGTTGAGGGAGTGAAAGAAAACAACTGCCCTTACGCTTTGTCTAGGAGTTCAAAATAAAGGCTCCAGTTCTTTATGTCGATTAAGGAAACATCTTTCTTGAGAACCCGTCCGGCCCATTCTTCGAGGCATGCGCGTTTTCCGACATTTAATGTCATTAAGACACAAGAAAATGCAAAGCTAAAACAAAGAAAAAAACTTTAACTACAGGCCTTAGTAAATAAGACATTACACTGTCTAAACATACTGGACATAAATGCACAACCTTTACGGGGTGCTCTTGCCACGGAAAGCTTTAGTGCCTGTGTACATGTAAACATTCTGTCTCTGGCAAGCATACTGACGGTGCGCTTAATGTGAACAGCTA